AATGTGTAACATTTGGAAGTAAACTGACATTGATGTATTGATAGTATAGAAGGTGTTGATTAATATATGTTCGAACCTGATACCCTCAGAGAAACAATCGCCACTGCTAGTTAACTTGCTATTAAGGATTTATAACATCGAAGGAACTTTAAGCATAAATCTTCACGATAACGAGAGAAACTTGCTTCCATCGGAAATTCTAATTTCATATTTCGATTTTCTACTGGAAGGACTAGAACTTTGCTAACATATGGAGGACTTCTTAATATTCTTTCAAAATGTCTCCCATATAATACTCTATGATTACTAAAAAAATAAGAAATTTTTATAAATTTATACAAAGTTAAATAATTTAATAGAGTTAAATTTTTATAAATTTAGATAAAGTTAAATAAATTTTAACTTTAATTTCTAATAAAAATAGAAACTTTTAAATTTCATTGAAATTATAATGAAACTATCGTAGTTATAGTAGTAGTTATACTAGCAAAGAAACAAATTAAAATATCACTAAAGAATCAATTTTTTTCAATTAAATTAACTCACACCTTAACGTTCTATCTTCTTCAGACAGATACAATTAAGCGATCAGCAAGGATTGCGATTAAAAATATCAATAATCAGGAACTCGCTGGAGCTACTATGTAAATCCACGGAAGGATTATGGCAATGGTCGGGGAACCAGCCATGCAACAGCTGCGTTGAAAACTAGGGGCATCAAATGTGTAATCGCCATATAGGGAGACGTAGCAGCCGTATTTGTCATATCTGCATAATATGCTCTCGAAAAACCCGGCAGTAGTTTCTTGCATCGACGAAGGGGTGCGCAGAACACCGACGAAGGGTGAGAAGAGAGAAGAAGAGAGAATCGTGGTCCAGGGGTGAGGAGGAGTTCCAGATGATGGGGTTGAATTAGGCGTTGAGTCGATGCAACAGCACGAATGAGTAATTCGAATCGATCGTAAAATCTGTCTCGACTAGTGGTTCTTTTTCTTTCTCTCTCTCTTTCTCTCTCTTTCTCTGTTGTGCTAGCCGACACAACACGAAAAGAAAAGCAATCTCTCGTCGCCTTCACCTAACGTCATCGCTTGCTATAGATTCATCTGGCTCGACAAACAGATCCACACTGCTGGATCTTAGTTTACGAGTTTCAGTAAAAGCTTACTGATGTAGGAGGATAAACCAGTCATTTAATTATTCTGGTTAGAGAGATGAATATCCATGGTATATACATATATATATATATATATTACTCTGTGTCGAGAAATTTGAGGTCTAATATTGCTGTTCTGTATCCTCTTTGCGAATATGGATTCTGTGGATTTCTGAGAATGATCTAAGATATTACATTTGACGTTTAATCTCAATAATTGTTGCTCAAGGCAATTTGGATGCGTGCACACTCTATCTATACATGACGTGAAGGATGCGTTTATGGCAGTAGTTGGATTATATTGCGTTCGACAGGAAATTCGTTTATGTAGGTGGTAGCTAAAAATATTTTGAAATCAGCATAGCTATGTATATGTATAATAGTATATTACAATCCGACTAAATTAATCAATAACTTTTTCGTCACTTGGCACAAATACTTTCTTGAGCTATTATAAGTAATTTAATTTGAACAATTGTGTGTTTATTTGATGATATAAAAAATTGGTATTGTTCCACTTGAAATTGTGAATTTCCACTATTGAATTTTGTTGTAGAATAGTAGCTATATTCTTTTCCTATATGTACTAGATAGTTTCCTATATACAATAGATATTGAATTGATTTTATCAAATTCCTCGATATAATCGCCAACTTGAACACGCTCGCCTTTATTTTGCGTCTGTATAAATAAACGACCTTGGAAGAATAGACACCAAATTCCTCATTGCTGCTATGATCTCACGACTTTATGAAAATTTTATTTATCCGACATTCTATTGAAAGGCAGTCGAAAAAACACAGAATACGTTGGAACAATCAATCTTTCCTGATAGTAGCACACATATTAAAACGAACATACAGAGAGATGAAGAGTACTCAATGGAAATACTTCAAATTGTGCAAGAGGACTCTCAAACCCTATGAATGCAGCTCGTAACGTTTCTATAAAAAAAATCCTATCCCATTTTCCGTGATACAAATATCGTATGCAATTCTAACTTGATACTGATCTATTGGTTTGATTATTTTGTGCAGAGTTGAGGATTTAAATTTCAAGATGATGTTGAAGCTTAGGCGATTCGAATAAACTACATTTACTAAGTAAAATCTTGGACTTTTTGGACACTGTGTGTATATGTTCGCCGCGACGTACATTGTTTATTTTCACCAGAGGCAAAACGTGCAGGATACCCGACGTGTATTTACCACGGATAACGGAACCATGCTGATGCTCGAGCCTTGCTCGTTGCGAGCAAGGAAGCGGGACAAGTATACACACGCGAGGAAAGCGACCAACGATGAAAAGAAACGAGGAAGAAACCCCGTACAGTATCGTCATACGGACGAATCCGGGCTCGCAGAGAATTTCTTCGATCGAAGATTACTTCGCATCTCTGCCGTGACGGTAAAAGTAAAACCACGTTCGCTTAGCTCACGCCTCCGAGCACAATGAATTTTACCGTGCTATACTTTTGTGGATTGTTTTCGACGGGTAACGGTAGTCGGTAGACGAAGCTGCACACTCGTGTTGCTCTGTCTGAGAAATTACATGATACCAGCAGATATTTCGAAGTGGAAATTAAATCCGAGTTGACTTGAGCTATCACCAAAGTTATAAGAAGATTATTAATTAATTAACGCGGTGGCTAGATTTTTTTTTTATACTTACATTTGTAATTTTAACATTCTGACGACCGGTTAGTAGTCAAATTAAAAATTAAGAAAATATGGTTTCTGTCATGCAATTCATCTTCTGCATTTTCTTCTAACTTTAAAAATAAGATTACGCAACTTTTACCAGTTTTGCGAATCAGCCTGTAAAAATACTTTTATTAGATAAAAGATAGATTTATGAATTTTATTAGCAAAATCTCCTTTTCCGGCACTTACATATATACATGCTACTAATCGGATTGGATATTTTAATGTGGTCTACATACATCTACATACATGATCGCGTAAATAGGTTTATCTAATCTATTTACCAACTCGGGACTTATATTTTGAAAATATTAGTGGAATGTGATCGCTGACTTTATCCAAAAAAACTTTGATCTCGTACAGAATTGAGAAAAAAATATTAATTCTTGAATCTAGGATTAAATGTCTATTTCAATATTGAAAAAATGATTCTTGATATATTCACTATCTATATTTTAATAATATCTAATTAAATTAATTTTAAAAAATCTTTAGGAAAATTATGCATTTAAAGATTAATTATAATAATTGAATTGCATTATATTAATTGTAATTATAATTTAAAAGAGAAAAACAGTATTGATAAATGAAAGTTTCAACATCCTTTTTTCTTCTGGTAGCATAGACAAACAGAAGAGAGAAACAAAGACGGTCCGAAGAAACATTTAAAGTCCAGTATGACTTACACTTATAGTAGCAAGCATAAGAGACCTGAATTAAGAATGCGCTGAAAGTCGGAATAGTCTCGTATAAACAACTCTTCAGACTTCCACCAATTTTCCAGAAAAGAGTTTAATAAGTTGCTTCACAAATATTTTGAAAAGAAAAAATTTAATAAGCTTTTCAAGTACGTTCTTATCTGACAAAATATGTTTTTATTCTTACCGTCGAGATTGTATGCAAATAAAACGAGAGAATCATTCTGATCCGTGTACCGCAAATTCATATCATAATTTTTCATTTTCTCACGCTATCAATCTTCAGATCTGAATGATATTAAAGATATGTACTCAAATATTTGTAACTGCATATTATACAGAGTAATATAAAAAATATTTCTCTCTTTATTTTTATATTCCAACTGGACGAATACTTCTGT